GTGTACAATATATAGAGAGGCTGTTAGCTGATTTCACCATAAGGGACTAACCAAGCAATGCTAACCAACCAAATAAAGCCAATGTTGTCTGTTAATATTGGAACAGGGATCCAAAAACATTCGGATGAGCGGTGTACTAAATCACCAGACAAAGCAAGCAGAAGCTAAAGTACACTGCTGTTTTGAACACAAATCCAGTTCACTTGTCTTCCCTTGTGATGCTGAAGAAATATTGCCAGATCTGATTATATGGTCATGACAGCCCGGAGGGAGATGTTAAGTCAACCAATCAAAATAACTTCTTATGAGTGAGGATGCGGTGGTGTATGTAGAAAAGAGAGAGAAAAAGATGAGAAGCGGCGAGCGGCGGTGGGAAGTGGAGGGGGTGGCTGTGACATTGAACTGATCATCTGCCATTTATCAAGTAACCAGGGACTCAATATAAGTTTTCCTCTCTCGACAGAGTGGAAAGATGAATTGTGTAGGCCAGGCCAGACTAGCTGGTACTGAATAATAAACACTGCCTCAGGTAACCTATCCTGCTGGGAGCAGCAGTGCCTTGAGCAGAGTGACCGAGGGTCTTTGTTTGAATAACTTATGCCCTCCTGCCATCTGGTTTCACCCTGTCTTCAGATCACTCCTTCTTAACCAACTTATTCCTTGCTTTTTTATTATTATTATTTCTGCATGCTTACAGCACAAGAGTATACTTGGACTTTGGACATGAAATTCTGCATCTTTGGGTTCGATAGATGAAAATTCTTCAGCTGAACAACTTACTGTAGAACTTTTGTGCTGTTTGGTGGATGAAGTCAAACTTTCCAAAACACAAGACTCGTATCATTATAAACAACAAGCAATCATATACTTTTGAGGTTACGTTGAATGTGTTCCAGGAAAAAAGTACATTAGTCATTTTTGTCATCATCTTTCTGTGAAACGCTGTGCAGTGTTTCTATTCTCTGCTTTATTTTCCCTGACTGCCATTTTTCATAACCGTTCCTTCTGTTAGCTTCCATTTTCCACTTGTGCAGTTGACACAACAGTTCTTCCATTTGCTGCTACTGTTTATAGGACTTTGCTTACTAAACAGGGCAAAGTAGTGTGAAAGCACAATAAAAGCATAGATGGAGGTGTAATGCTTTGCAAGTGATTCTACAGAGAGTGTGCAGATAAAGAACAAATGCATCAGTTAATCTTTATGTTCTCAACTACAGTGTTTAACCCAGTGTGAAATAGATCACAAACAAGCATAGCCACCGATTATGCAGTCATGTAATCTATTGATGACACAGGAAAAGGGGTTAAAGGGGTGGTCCAGAGAGTATTTTTAAGGCTTGGTTGTTTATACGATGCAAAGCAATGTGTGCTCATGCTTCACTTGTAAAAAAAAAATCACATTAATTCTTCATATATCTTGCTTTGATTAAATACTGCTACTCGGTTAACAAGAAAACGACCTAGTTTTTCTGAAAGGCCTGCCCTCAAGAGGCTCTAATTGGTCAGCTAACATAATGTGCTGTGATTTGCAGATCGGCTCCACATCACTATGAAAAGTGCCATGCTTCTATAGAATGTGGTTTGCCTGCGCATTTACGCCTGCACCAGATCAAAGCAGGTCTAAAGACCAGCGCAGAGCGTGTTAGTTGTGCGCCTCGCTTACACATTGCTTAATACACAGAGCATGTACAGCAATACGCAAATATCTTTACAAATAAAAAAGAATTAAAGGATTAAAATATTACAAAAATATATTAATTTCTAGCCTACATAAATATAAAAACCACTGCCTTCATGCCTTCCTCATCTCGGGGTGCTTTTTTAGTTTATTCATGACAATTTGCTTTTGTATAATGTTATTATTATTAGTAGTATTATTTATTACATGCATATTTATATTTGTTCTATTAAAAACAAGCTTAGATTTGCCCACCTGTCATGTTTTAGACCCGTGGTCACCAAATTTATTTCTTCAGGGCCGGTGTCCTGCAGATTTTTGCTCCAACCCTAATCAAACACACATGAACAAGCTAGTCAAGGTCTTACTAGGTATACTTGAAACACTCAGGCAGGTGTGTTGATGCAAGTTGGAGCTAAACCCTGCAGGGACACCGGCCCTCCAGGACCGAGATTGGTGACCCCAGTTTTAGACCATATGGGGCATATGTATTTGGATATAACTCAGTTTTTTGACCATATGTATAGGCTAATGGATGTCTGTTCGTACAGCACCATTTCCTTATCCACAAGAGTGAAAGTGAATGAATGTAAAGAATGAGGAGTAACTCCTTACTCTCTAGTGAAGCATTCAGTTTTTCCACTTACAAAGTCCGTCATGTAAATAGCAAATGCGCAACACAACTGACTCTTAAAAGGAATGGGAGATGAGACTCTGATTGGTTTATTCTCAAAACACATATATAACTCATTAAGAGAATAAGCTCAACCCTGTTATGTGCCACAGGATTTTTTCATCCTTATATTTGCAAAAGTGGATTATAACATGCCTTAAATGCTTTTGCGCCCTGCGCTTTAGGCCTGGATCGTCAAAATAGAGCCCTTGAGGTTCATTGTCTTTTTCTATCATTACACGCAGCGCACACACACACACACATGAACCACTTGTGAGACGGAGAAAATAAGTCATAATCATAAGACATAATCTTGGTCCCACTTTATATTAAGTGTCATTAACTACTATGTACTTACATAAAAAAAAATGAATACAATGTACTTACTGTGTTTATAATGTATTTGAGAACACTTGTGGTGCTCTTGAGTTTGGATAGAGGTTGGGTTATGAACAGGTTTGGTGGCATGGGTAGGTTTAAGGGTGGGTTAAGGTGTAAGGGATGGTCAACAGTGTATTTACAAATGCAATTACAAAAGTTAATTACAGATGTAACTACATACATGTATTTAATCAAGCAGAAGTACACAGTAAATAAATGTATTGACACAATAATTACACTGTAATAAACTATTAATTCCTATGTAAGTACATATTAGTTATGGCCACTTAATATAAAGTAGGACCATAATCTTTAATCTCATGACTTTTATTAAAAATGTTGACAGAGATTTTGTGAAATGATATTAACAGCAGAGCATTAATTAAATGCATATTTTATGTGGAGCCATCGATTTGAGGTAGCCTGATATTTTTATTTGATGGAAGAAAAAAACATGATTGGACAAACAGCAGATCCTCAGCCCCCTCCCCTTGACCAGCTCCATCTTATTGTCCAAATGTATTTAAAAAAAAAAAAAAAAAGAGTTTGCAGGACTTTGCTTACAACCTAGAAAATAAAATAAAATAATTGATAATGGCCTTGATTTCACTTCTAATCTTCAGTTTAGCAGTTTAGTTTTTTTTAGCATTTTATAGCACTTGTTATTTAAGCACTTGTTATTGTTTAGAAGAAAACACTTTATTTGACTGTACTTTTAAATAAATGGTGCAAAGCATAATCATTGAAGAGTCTTTCTCAATCTCAGTTTACCAGTTTTTTAAGCTCTTTAAGCTCTTGTTACTTTATTTTTGTTATTATCGTCAATATTATATATATATATTTACTAGAAAGTGAAAATAATAATTATTTTTTTTTAGCATTGGTTAGAGCAAATTCGGATCATTGGTTTCAAAAGATATTTTGAAGCAACGTCATGACGACGAGATTGTGTAAATTGCAGCATAAAGATTGGCTGTCTGTACTGGCTGGTACAAAGTGACGTCATTTCAGTTTTCAGCACATTTGTTCATTAATTCAAGAGAAAGACTTGGTTCGAACCAATCAGTGTGCTCTATTGTGAATGAGATGCAACTTTATTAATTTGCAACATATAGCTTTGAAGACTCCTTTTACCTGTTACTGTGTTCAGAGAGATGCCACGTTGTGTTGTCAACCGTAATTCAAACAAGGAGAAGAAGAATTGTTCAGAGACATGGGTCGTTAGTGTTACGTTTATACTGTAAATGTTCTGCAATGAAGGTTTTGTTTCCATTTCCTCCTCAGTTAGAGCACATCTTGCATGTGGACATATGTGGATAACAGTTATCTGCTACTATGTGACAAAAATATGTTTGTAAGTAACATTTTTTTTACCTGAGAGCTTTTCAAATGTGGAAATAGTGAAATCCGGATTTGCCACTCGTCTTCTATTAAAAAATAAGCTGTTCTCGTTTGTGTTGATTGTCACGTCTTTACAAATTTGGTAAGTGTGTGATCAATGTTCTTTGTTTATGTTTATTTAGATGGCAAAGTTAGTTACAGTAGTATTGTCAGCAGTACCCTTTCTGTTTTTATCAGCTACAGTATCTCCCCTGCATCTGTGTTTGTGTTGCCGCTGTGTAAATCAGCTGTGGTGCTTGTAATGAAATTCCCCTTTTCATGGAAACCCCTCCCTCTTCGGCCACTTGACACTCCCTCTAAACAAAGCTGGACTCAACCACTTTCCTGACTTTTTTCAAACTTAAAGTGTGTAAACACCCTTCTGAGACGGGGGTTTCATGGCCCTTTAAGAACTCAAAGGTTGTTTGTGGAACCCAAAAAACACTCTACTGCAGCATTACTTTAAAATTCCACCTACACAACTTTTTTCTTTTTAAAAGTGTGTGTTGTAGGTGTTTGCCCTTGATTCTGTGTCCAAATCAATCAACCCTACCTGCCAATGCAACATGCAGGATTTAGACAAGCAATCATAAAAGAAACTGTATCATTTCTGGATCCTCAGATTAATCCACTTTTACAACAATCTGATTTATTTTGCAGTGACATTGAAGAATGCCTCAGCCTGGTCGAGAAAAAGGTCTAAGCTTGAAGTCATTCGCAGGCTCTGGCTTCTTATCAACTGCTATTCTGCTGCGCTGAACCGACGAGTTATGAGTTGAGAGAGTGCTATTTTTAGACCACCTTAAGTCTTTGGTCCCAAAGAGTTAATGTCAAGCTATTCTCTTATGCACAAGTTTTCCCGCTTGAAAGGAAGACACATCATCAAGGGAGTTTTAACTGGATTCCACTCATCCATTTATTGCATCAAAAATGCAGCAGAAAGGCAGGTAAAAAGTATAACGTTGGAAAGTTGAAAGTAGAAAGTAGAAAGTTGAAAGTTGAAAGGTGAAAAACCTTCAAAATAAACAAAAATACAAGATATGTAATTAAATTGCAAATAAACATATATATATACAAACATTTGTGAATTTTGTCTGATTTTTCACACAGTATTTCAAATATTATACTGAATTAACACTTGTTAAAGCACAATCAACAGTACAGTTTAATATACTGAACTTAAATATTTAGTTTTAAGACACATAAATGAAATGCGATTAATTTTGCTACTGCAGCAATCAGCTTATGTGCACGTGATCTGCTCATGCATGCATATGAATCACGGAGGAAAATTAACATCTTAACGTCAGTCAGATAGCACTCAAATGATGATCAAAATAACCAAAACTATACATTTCTGCTTCATATCATCTTCTAGTTTGCAAATAACTATTTGTATCTTGAAATAATTAAGCAGCGGGCAGATAAGCACTGTTGGAGCAACCTTTTCCTCTGTGCCGAACTTGAACTCAGATGCTGCTTCACGGTTGATTTGCCCTCAAATACTGACATGACAGTCACGATTTTCATGCAATAACCAAAGTAAAGTTCTCACCGGCTGCCACTCCGGGACTTGATGATGGTTTTTTAACTGTTGTGCACTTTCTTTCTCAATTTTGGCGGAGATTCGGCTTTGGCGGAGGTTTCGTTTTGGCGGAGATTCTGTTCTGGTTAGGTTTCAGTTTCCTTTTTCCTTACGTGAATGCCGAACTACTGCATGTCCTTCCGCCTCTCCCTCCGACTGGCGGATGGATTTTTTTTTTTCTCCTTCAATATTAGTTTGACTTGACACCTCCCACTCGATTTTCTTGGGATAAAGAGGAAATCGCATCTTTTTGAAGGCAAACTGTTTAGTTCGATTACTTTTAGCTTTCAAAAGGATGTTCTCTGAATTATTTACTCTTTTGTTCCTCTGCAGAAAGTAGAACAACTAGCCGTCTGACATCTCTGTGAAGGACAGTACTCGGGATCTTCTCTCGACCGATTTTGGACTCCGAAGAATTTGCCCTTGCTTTTGATGGTTTTGTGATCAGAACAGGGTAACTTGGGAATGTTCGTATATTTACATCTCTTACGACACCTTTACTGTCTGGATTGACACTGATTACTCTGCCAAGCTTGAATTGTCCTCTGAGTGCATTCTGATCTGCGATCCAGACAATATCTCCAATTGCGACATTTCTGTGCGTGGTGTGCCACTTGCTCCTTATGAATAAATTAGGACCTGCAAGCTGGCTCCAACGTTCCCAAAACTTATTTACCAATGACTGCATTGCTTGGAGTCTTTTGAAGGGATAGCTGGAAAAGTCAAAAGTTTTAATGTCACCACTTTGAGACGCTCGTCCGAGCAATAGCGAATTTGGCGTTACATATTGAATGCAGCCTTCCTGATTTTGTGCCCTGGCATCGATTGGTCGCTCATTTGCAAGATTAGCTGCTATTTGAAGGGCTGTATGCATTTCACTGTATGTGAGGGTGGACTCCCCTCCGCAGTTTTGGAGTGCCCTCTTGATAATGCGCACTGCAGCTTCAGCAGCTCCATTTCTATGTGGGGAATCAGCTGGGTGAATCTTCCAGATCCACTCAGTTCCATGTTTTACTGCTGTTTCCTCCAGGGTAGATTTGTCAATTCCCTCCAGGAATTGGTACAGATCTTGCAAAACTGGTCTTGCTCCAATGAAATTGGTACCAGGATCTGAAAAAATCTTTCTGGGATAGCCTCTAATTTCAGCAAATCTTTGAAAGGCCAGTAAGAAACCTTCGGTTGACTGAGAGTTAACCAGTTCTGTATGGATTGCCCTGCTCGACATACAACAAAAAACAACACCCCAGACCTTCAGCAAGACTCTTTTCTTGACATCATCTTTCACATGGTAAGGTCCGAAAAGATCCACTGCTGTGAACTCGAAAGGTGCAGCTGGTTGGGTTCTTTCTAAAGGAAGATCACCCATTACTTGCTGACACTTTTTTGCTTTGTTCTTCCTACATTGTACACAGCTGTCCACAACTTTTTGTGCTATTCTTCTGCCTTTTAATACCCAGGCTCTCCTTCGCATTCTAAGCAGAGTCTCAGCCAAGCCTCCGTGGCTCTCCTTGTGAGATTCTTGAGCTAGTAATGTGGAAATCCATGAATTGGAAGGAAGAATTGGAACACTCAGCTGATCATCTTGAAAGACCTGCACCCTGCCACCGCAGACCAACAATCCAGAGTCTGAATCTTTAAAGACAACTAACCTCTCTTTAGTGGTGTTTGGAAAGGTCACCCCATCCTGCTCAGCAAGAAAAATGTCTCGTAGAGCATCTTCTCTTTCTCTTACTGAAATGGTTCCTAATGACAAGACTGCCTCCCACTTTGGTTTATTTACAGTCCGTTTTTTGCCGAGAAACTTCTTTGCAGCTCTCCAAACCCATGCTATTGTTTTAACCAGTCGTGACAGATCACTGAACCGCTTTATGTCACACAAGTTCAGGACAGCTAAGCCTGCTGGTGGTCTTTTTTGTTCCGCTCGAACTAGGTTGGGGCTCTCAATTGGTTTCGACTCCATAGTCGGCTCCTTTTGCTTTGTTTTTGACCTTGTCAATACAGCTGCAAACGCTTTCTTTTGAAGTTTGTTAATGCTTTCTCGGGCAGTGATAGCTAAGTCTTTAGCTGACTTGA